GTTGGTGTGTCAGGACAATCGACAATGCGGGCACCTGGGCTGCTGACAGCAAAGGGCGGTTTGTGTCTGAACGCTTTGGTCATGGCTCATCAGACGATGCTCATTCTGCATGCTGCTGCTGCTTGATTTGCGTCTTCACCTTGTGGGGGTTGGTCTGGGGTGAACGGAGGCAGGGTGAAGGTCACCGGAGAGACAGGTCTGACGTGGGCAGTGTGCTGGGGCAGTTCCCCCATGCACAGATCTGCAGATGCCCCTCAGTCCTGATTCGCAGCCCCTTGCTATTCCAGCCAGGGGCTCCCCCAAATACAGCTCTGCCCATACCCCTCAATCCTGACCTGCAGCCCCCTGCTTTTTTGGCCCTGGGCTTTCCCCCCACCCCGATCTGCCACAGCCCCTCTATTGCACCCTGCTGTGCCCATCCTGGGCCTCTGTGTGAAGGCCAAGCTGAGTGATAATTTTGTGACATGGACCAATAAACATTACAGGGAGAGCTCCTCTGCTGTGATCATTTGTTGGGTGGGGAGTGGCCACCTTGCTCCAAAGAAAGAAGAGAACTGATTGACAGCCCAAAGCAGCCATGTCCTGAATGCTCCTTGTAAAGGGATTTTTATGTGATTAAAAATTACCACTGGGGATTGAAATGAAACATTTGAACTAGAGGTGTAACAATCTGAAGGGGAGCACTGGACGTGTTCTGTTTCATGGCTCGCACACAGAGAAGTGAGATAAAAACACAAATACTCTTGCTCGAAGGTTGCAACGTCCCACTCCTTTATTTCTGAGAATTCATAGTGAGAAACCAGAGAGAGACAAAGCAGGCTGCTCCCTGAAAGCAGAGAGGCACAACTCATCCCATCATTTTCTAGTATCAAAGGGGTAGCCGTGTTAATTTGGATCTGTAAAAGCAGCAAAGAGTCCTGTGGCACCTTATAGACTAACAGACGTATAGGAGCATGAGCTTTCGTGGGTGAATACCCACTTCTTCGGATGCAAGTGGGTTTCACCCACGAAAGCTCATGCTCCTATACGTCTGTTAGTCTATAAGGTGCCACAGGACTCTTTGCATCATTTTCTAGGCTGCTTCGCTCCAGGCTGCCGACTGACGCAGATCACGCAACTTCTCTCTGAGGCCCCTAGCCTGCAAGCAGGACCAGGAAATCCCTCAAGCTTAAAGTGATGGCTTGTCCTTTGTAACCAGTTTCCAGTACACCACAGCAAGGAGACCCATGGAGTGTCCCTTGTGCTACAGCAGAGACAGGCCTGGGCTGTGGTGAATGCAAAGGGGGCTGCAGGTCACAGACAGACCCAGCGGGTCTCTTTAGCTTCCACAGCCTGCGCTGTCCTGTCATTGCACAGTGGCCTGTGCTCCTGGACTGCCAGGGAGAAGGAGGGATTCTCAGATGAAGCCTGGGAGCCTGAGATTAAAATCAATGGAGGGTCTCAAAGCCCTGAGAGGTGGCAAACAGCTTAGAAAACACAGCAGCAGCGCCGACAGGAAGGGCTAGTGCTGGGCAGGGGGGCTGTGCCCACCGTCAGCCCATTGCCCCCTGGGGCTAGGATTTCCCCCGCACCAGGCCACACAGTTGGGATTAGGTGGCATTACAGGGGTGCCCAGGCCTCATCCTGGCCCTGTAGGCAGGGGGAGGCCACCCACTGTGCAAGGGTGCTTGTGCATTTCCTTTTGCAGGGGCTGATGAACCATCCCTTCCATAAAAAGAACAGGAGTACTTGTGGCACCTTAGAGACTAACACATTTATTAGAGCATAAGCTTTCGTGGACTACAACCCACTTCTTCGGATGCATATAGAATGGAACATATATTGAGGAGATATATATATACACACATACAGAGAGCATGAACAGGTGGGAGTTGTCTTACTAACTCT